TTTATTATAAAATTTAATAAACATTTTCTGATTTTAAAAAATACTAACTAGTTAATATTTTATTACTTGAAAAATATTTTATGTTTTATATTATAAAGTAATTAATTTATTCTTTTGTTTTTATATTTTGTTAATTCTTTTTTATAAATATTAAATAGAAATGATTAATGGAATAATTTATATTAATATTTTGTATTATAATAATATAATATACTAATATATTATATTATTAATGCACATTAGTCGACATTATCGACATCATAGGAAAAACTGCCTTTTTTTTTTGGTTATTTGGACTGATTTGGTTGACATTTCCGAAATATAGGAAGTGTCAACCGAAATAATGTAATTTTTATATTACCATCTATTTTCATGTCAGCGAGCCTCGACATTGACATATGTCAGGCGATATTAGCGACATTTCGCAACATTTGAAACCATGGTTAGTGCTATAGAGTACATCTAGAAGTGTCCATGCAGTATCTGATATGATACTAGTACACTAAGCATGTACTAGTATTTGAGTATCATAGGTTGGAGCATGTAAAGTCAAGCTATTTAATCATTCAGACCACAACATACCACCATTTAGCACTCATAAACAAGATATCATAAGAAAGGATACATTCAATAAGGACTCCAAACTTTGATTTTCTTACTTTCACTATACTTCTAAATTATTTATGTATTAAATATTATTTATTGCCAAACTAGCCATTTTATCAAGTGGCCCCTTGGCAAGAAACTGGCTATGTGGAAAAAGAATTATACCACTTTGGAGGGAAGAATAACTTTAATCAGGTCCACATTAGCAAATCTGCCCATTTACTACCTTTCCACTTATAGTAGGATCCCAGTCAAAATAGCTAAACAGCTTGAAAAGATTATGAGGGACTTCCTTTGGGAGCCGAGGGATGAAGTGAAGGATCATTTGATAAAATGGGAGCAGGTATTTAAATCAAAGGAGAAAGGTGGTTTAGGTATTGGGAATTTGACCAAGAGGAATATGGCTCTACTAGGGAAGTGGCTTTAGAGATTTCCTTGAGAAGGATATAGGCTGTGGCACAAGGTCATTGAAAGCATGCATGGCTTAGAGGAGAATGGCTGGAATGCAAAACTGGATTCTCACACCTCTTCAAGATCTTAATGGAAAGCAACAACAAAGGTACTCCCTTCTTTCCTCAATTCCATTAGGTTTGATATGGGTTATGGGAATAAAGTTCTATTTTGGGAGGATCTCTGGGTAAGTGATTTGCCCCTTTGCCAACAATTTCCAATACTTTTCAAATTATATACTCGAACCTATTTCTAAATTTGGCACAACCTCCTTAACTGGGGTTAACTAGGATTTTGGGTTCAGAAGAGGCTTAAAGGACAATGAATGTTAGTCACTCATTTCTTTGCTTTCTTCTTTGGAGACTTTTTTTTGGACCAAAATACACCTGATGTTAGGGTTTGGACCCCCTCCCTTGATGGCTTGTTCTCTTGTGCTTCCTTCTTTAACATTTTAGTTCACTCCACCTCCAAGGGGTGGCCTTCCCAATGAAAGAAATTTGGTGTAAATCCATTCCACCTAAAGTATAAGCTTTGTGCTAGAAAGTGTTCCTCGGTAAGATCAACACCTGTGAAATGCTACAAAAAAAGAGGCTTAATTCTTGCCTCTCTCCTCATATGTGTGTTCTTTGTAAGGCTTGTGGTGAATCCATTACTGTGTTTTGAGAATATTTTTGTTCTTTATTTGGTTGCAAATGGGTCCCCCCACAAGAAGTGTTAAGCTTATTCAACCCCAACTTCCTAAGGCTCAAGGAAAAGAGAGGGAAGACAGTAAGAGGTGCATTGGTGCGGACAATATGGTAAGAAAGAAACAATAGAATCTTCAATGAAAAGAGCAGGTCTAAGGAGGACCTAATGGAAGCTATCCTAGTTAGAGCTGCACACTAGGTAAAAACCTTGGAGACATTTAGAGCCATTTCAGTCGATGATATTATCAAAACTTGGTCTGAATAGCACAAACAGGTAGACACTCTGAAGAGATGAGAATGGAATAGAAGCCACCAGCTGAAAGTAAACCGAAACTGAACTTTGTTGGTAGCTCTATGGGCAACCCGGGAAGAGCAAGCATTGGGGGAGTGATTAGAGACCATCAAGGTTTGGTGGCTGTGATGTATTCAAGTCCAGCTGGCTTAGGAGATTCAGTCAAGGCAGAAATCAGGTGACTCACAGCTAGTAATTCATTCGGCAAAGCAACTCAAAGAAGCACCCTGGAAATACAAACATGTGTTTAGGGAACTTGATGTGATTGCAAAGAAATTAAATCCAAGCTTCATCTGGGTGTGAAGAACTGCAAATGGGGTAGCAGATGCATCAACCAAACAGGGAGTAGATAGGCCAAGTCTTTTCTGGGCAAAGCCAACAGTTGTATTAAGTTTAATCTTTAATTCTTAATGAAATCCTATATATATATATAACAAGCTTCTCCATGAAACTAAGAATATTCCACTCGACTTCAAACATTTAATGCTTCAACCTCATCTTACATTTCCCGTGCCATCATTCCACGGCTTCAGCACTTACCAGACCAGGACTAAATTTCCTACCACTATTCTTTTATTCTTGGTGTAATGGTAAAATCTCGAGCTGCAAAGCATGAGAATGCAGGTTCAAGTCTGAGAGCAGCCAGTTTGTACAAAAAACAAAAAAGAAAAAAATCCAAAGTTTAGGTCCATATCCAGTCCACCCCGCCAGCCTCCAAGACCCCAGATAGCTGGGATTGGATAATTTCCTCAAATACCCTAGCATATTCAAAGGTGAAGCACCACTTGAATTTATGCCATTCTTCTTGAAGAATGCTAAAACACAACAATGCCAATATGAAGCTTAAAATTGACAAGAGAGGTAATAGACACTTTAGGATGAACAAGAGTCCTCAAAATGACTCATAGGGAAAATAAGAATCCTGATAATATAGGTCAGGTTACATCATGCACATTGAAACCAAAGAAAAAACTGTATATAGATTCAAATTGATTTGAAAGATTTGTGGCAGGAGAGACTTGTAAAAGAGCCACCAGCCTTCTTGTCATGTTTTTTTTTTTACAGAGGGGCAGCTGAAGTTGTAAATCAACTAGAGATCATTTTTAAAGTACAAAACTAAAGAAGGAACTCAGCAACCTAGAAAACGATTCAAACAGATACAGATGATCTAGCCAAGGTGAAATATAAAAAGACCAACTTCAGATAAACCATTATACAGAAAGAAAATTTCCTCATATAACCATCTTCCTAGCAATTTAGTTCTGTTACTTGCAACTTCAAGGACTTGAGACGACCATAAAACAGCTTGGAAGTACATGGTACACACCATATGCAACAGTGGAAAAAGGAAGGCGAATAATGTGCTTCAACTTCTGGCTGAAAACATAGTAACCCTACAAAATGAACAAACATTTCATGACTTGTTAACTAACTCAACTGATGACCAAGTTAATCGTGTGGTTTGAAGTACCAGCAAATAAAAAAGGAACCTTTCCAACTGCATTCAGTTAAATGTTTTTCAACAACAATACATAAGATGAAAAGCATAGAACCATGTCAAGAGATGTCATTCAATCATTAAGAAAGGAAAAGAAAAAAACAGAAAAAAAAACTGCATATATCAAACAATTACTGATATAGGAAAAGAAACATAAAAAAAAAAAAAAAAAAAAATTTGAAATGCTAATTCCAGGACTACTTAATGAACTGTAGAATAGATGGCCATAGCTGAAGGCTGAAGCCTACATGGTTTCACTTAATTGACCAAGAGAAATGGGGAAAAAACAATACTTTACCTTCTTCAAAAAAACAAATGCTCTAAAAAACCATGTATACTTCACAATCTAATCCTTGTTTCTTGAAAGCAAGGTATCAACTCATAAAGGAGCAGAGAAAAAATGAAAAGCAGTTTGTTTAATGTGCATTCTTCTATTCCACTGGTTGTTAAAAATAGCCCAACAATATGAAGGGGTAGCTCCTAGGATCCTGAGCCACAAATTAGGGTACAACATTTTTTTCTAAACTCATAGATCACTTCATAGAAGGAACCTAGAAATAGCTCCAATAGGTGATAAAATGAGAGAAAGTACACTGAGGTGGCTTGATCACACACATAGAAGACCATCTACAGCACCCATTAGAAGAAGTGATCTATTACAAGTTGAAGGGGCTATAAGAGCCAGAGGCAGACTGAAAAGGACTTGGGTGAAAATAGTAAGAAATTATTTAAGCACCCTTAATTTCACGATGGATATGGCACTGAACGGAACAGATTGAGGAAACAGGATTCATGTAGCCCAAGGTTCAAAGTATCAACACATATCAGCCCGTATCGGCCGATATGTATCGTTCTGGGACCCCTCCAATATGCCCCTACAGTGGGTGTATCGGGGGTCTGACCGGTTCAGGGGGTGGAGTCCTAAACCGGCCCCCCTGATACGCCCCTACCGGCATATCGGGCGTATCGATATTTTGGACCTTGGTGTAGCCTACCCCATATGGTTGGGACAAGGCTTAAATGATGATGATGATGATGATGATGCAGATCAATTCATAATTCTATTTTGTTGTTCCTCTGTTGAAAATGCAACCAGTGTTTTGAAAGGTGTGGGAGGTATGCAACCAGTGTTTTGAAAGGTGTGGGAAGTGTATGCCTGGAGGCACGCCTCCAGGCAAAGCACCCCCAAAACACCCTGAGGCATATACCAAAGGCATTAACACCTCTAAGGCGTACACCTCATGCGCTTTTTCTGTGAGGCATGGTATAGGTGTACACCTCATGCACCTCATGCACACTTCATATAAAAAGACAGAAAGAAAAAGAAAGAAAACAGGAAAAAAAAAGGGAAAGGGAAAGGAAAGAAAAAGAAAGGGAAGACCCCCCCCCCTCTTCAACTAGTGCTATGAATTCTTCCTCTTAATATAAAAGATTTTTTATTAAAAATAAAGAAAAATTAGATCCTCCTTCCTTGTCTTCCTCATCCCCCTCCTCTTAAGGAGGCTTACACCTTGTGTACGGGAGGCTTATGCCTCTTACGTTCTAAACTACGCCTCACGCCTCTAGGTAGTGGAATGCCTTACATCTGGCCTTCACGTTTTAAAACATTAAATGCAACTCAATATGATTGGACAATTTAAATTCACTTATCAATGGTTGGGTCGCTCCATTGCAAGCTGGGTGGCCAGGGTTCAAATCTTGGAAACAGCCTCTTTGTATACGCAGCCTCTTTGTAAGGTTGCATACATCTGTCCCTCCCTAGACCCTGCATTGGTGGGAGCCTCGTACACTAGGCTGCCCTTTTTATCAAAATCTTCAAGATGCAGTTTCCAGGCTCCCCATTGAACAAGTAAAATGAGCCCCTACTTCCATTTGTGGGTGCTACAAGCCGTTGCTGAAATCCTTCTCATTTCTTAATAAATAGCAAAAGAAGCTAATAAGGATTAAAAAGTTGTGCATTTCATTGCAGAAATCACAACAGTCTGCCAAGAGAACCAAAGAATGCATAGAATATGTATATTTGTTTTGAATGCTCAAGATCCCAATGTGTTAAAAGCCAATTGCATGTCTACATGCTCTCAGCTCTTGGAGAAATAGGAGAAGCCTTGGCAAATTAATTATAAAGCAATAAGCTTACCTGCAAGCGCACCTTTTGAACTTGATAAACCAAATACTGTTGAAAAATTCCTGAAAATCATAGTAGAAAGCGGTCGCCTTCAGTGTTATCCAACAGGAAAAAAATTGCAAGTAATTCTTAACAACCATGCCAGGTAAAAGAATGTTTGGAAGCCACATTGAATGCTATCATTCCAGTTTGGTAATGCATAGCATCTTAAGCCATAAGTTCACCACCTTAGCTGAGTCATTACCGGAATGTGAATAAAAAACAGAAATGTGCTTATTCTTTCTTTAAAGCCCTCTGCTCCAATCCCTCCTCTCAGGTGTTCCCTGTTAAAGAGGTCTGGTCAAGGYCAATTCCTCCTAAAATAGCAGTGTTCTATTGGGTA